ATTATTATTATTATTATTATTATTATTATTATTATTATTATTATTATTATAAAAATTAATAAGTGATAGAAATGATATTTAATCAAGTTATGAATTAAATTTTGAAGTTTAATTAAATTTACCTGATAGTTAGCAATACAGAGAATTCCTAGAACGGATATTAAGGCAATAACAGCGATAAGAAGGGCTCCAGCATAGAGGGAGGCTGTCAATTTTCCTTCATATTTGTTTCTTAGTTGTTTCAATTCCTCAATGCCGACTTCTCTTGCCACATGTTTCTGTGATTTTTCTATAATATATACATATATTGCATACATTAACTACTATTCCAAAATAAGAAAATTAAATGATATTAATAATAACGAGAATTAAATGATTCAAGAATCTTTTTCAATATATAGTGTTAATCTCTATAAGCACTATTGACAAAAGTACTACAATCTGTCGCATTAAGTACAGATGAATACATACATATATATATATATATAAGCAAAAACAGATATGCACATAAGTTTAGATATGCACATTTGTTTTACTAAGCGGTATAAGATTCCGTCGTAACTTTAATCATCTCTTCACTTTCATTTAAAATAAACTAATTGTAAGTATATTTAATATCCAAAAATTGCTCAAAAGCATAAAGTAACTAACGAATTCATGGTTCTTTCTCTCAAGGTACTTCTACTTTTAAGAGTTGGCTTATTGCCAATATGAGTTATTTTTGTCCTATATAATATGCATATATATCTTTAGAAATTTATTTTATTTTTTCCTTCAGACATGCGTAATTTCAGCGCAATGCACTTATGTAAGAAAATAAGTGATAGAATTTTATTCTTTTTTTTTGGTCTCTTTAATTATATACTAAAAGAATAATATAGATCACTAATAATTATTATTAAATATATAATTCAAATACAACTTGAATAAAATATATATTTTTTTAAATTATATCTATAAATTTTTTGGGTATAATATTTCTTCATTACTGTTCGTTACAAACTAATGAATTTAATCAATAAACTTCTATATGTCTGCTATCGGTTTACAATTTACAATTTGGTTTCTTTTTCTCAAGTTTTTACACTTTGGTTTTATGAATATATAAAGATAGATTGATATGACATCATTAATCATTCCATTATTCATACTTTCATCTCTAGTAAAGTACAGTTTGTATCTATTCTTTTTTTACTTCTGTTTGCTCTTATTCAAGAATATAATATCGCGTAAGCGTAGATTTTACCTTCTTCTGACATAACACTGGTAAGATATTCAATTCCTGTTACGCGTTATAATTTTCTCGATTGCTTGATATTTGTCGTATTTAATATTTCCCGCTTCTTTCTGTTTTTGATCAATTAATCACATAGAACTTTTCTTGTATATTATTTTAATTAATTGCACAATTTTAAAATATATATGAATCACAAAGAAAAAATATAAGTTGCACCGCAACACGTTACTCTTTTGGATCTCTTACCGCGATAGTGGGGAGGAGGAAGAAGAGAGAAAGAAAGATAGAAACAAAAATGATAAATCAACTCGATTGACATAAATGTTATCATATTTGATTAATAAAATTCGATTATAATTCATTCTGGAAAATAGAATATTTTATTATAGTATATAAGAATGATTAAAATAATATTGGACGGATGTGTGTGAAAATTATTCATAGCGAATATTTCTTATAAATATGAAGATCACTATTACTAACTCTATTTAGTAAACAACGTTATTGTAAAATTGTTCTATACTTTTTTGCATTGACGCCATTGTTACTGATGCATTTTCTACTAAAACATAAATACATATATATTTCCTAGTCTCTATTATGTATTGTTATATATGTAATGCATTATAATTCTTTAATCGTTTTTTTACAAAACAATATTTAATACAGTCATTTTTAATTCAATAAAATTAAATTAAATGATAAACAATTATATTGTGAATATTTCGTAAAATATATAATTAAGAAGAAATAAAGATATTTTGTAATCTTAATGATAGAAGTTTATAATTGTATTTTCTCTCTTTTTATTATTATTATTTCCTTTGTTTTGTAACAAAACTGTAACATGGACTAAATAAACTTTGACATTCTTTGTATTTCTTTTGCGTTCAGTAGTTCGTTTATCTACATCTTTTCTTTTTTCTCTTTTCATTCTTTGTATATACTATCGTTGAATTTTATTTTACATTATAAAAATTCCATTTCCCGTTCGATACCCACGAATTTTAATTGTTCCGTTGGTCCGTATCTACAAAAGAAAAAACATGTAAATAATATGAAAAAAATGTGTGTACATAATGAACAATTTTACCTGTAATCAAAAAATAATTCCTCGCCAGGTTGAATAGCCCTTTTTGCAAAAATACCTATCCTATGATCACCATTTACCATCATTACCTTTGCATAGCAATTAGGATTTATTGAATGATTGGCGAATCTTATTTTATTTCCCTTTCGAGTAGCATCCACAACAAAGTCTAAAAGTTAAAAAGGGACAAAATTAATAGAAATTTGATTATTCTTCAACTATTGATAAAAAACTGCAATATATCTTATTAATTTTTCTTACCATTATTAAGATTAAAGAGGAAACTACACATATATTTATCATATACTTTGCCTCGTCTGTCAGCTTCATCTTGACTTATAATTTCACCACAATATTCTGATATAAATTCATTCTTTGCCGCAGATTCCTTAAGAAATATTCCCCAGCCAGCTACATCAGATGGTGCCATTAAAAGATGTTTGTCTGAAATATATTAGCATTAATATAAAGCTAAAATTAATCTTATGATTTAAAAAATATAAAAAGATATTATATACATACGAAGACCGCGTTGAACGCTAACATTTTTGCAAGATATTTTAGTAATATGAAACTGATCTGCGCCGCATGTTTGACACAGATCTGGGTCACATTCCCTTACAGCTAGATAACAAGGACACTGTTTTGTGTTACATTGAGCTTTACATCTACATCCTGGGAAACGATTTTGACATTCGCTACTACATTGACAAAACTTTTCACAGAAATTCTGAGCTTGTATGCATGGGCATGAGTTATCGCACTGTCTTCCTGGATGATCGCATGGTGCGAAATTATGAACATGATTGGCACCTTGAAAATAAAAAAAAGAAAAAAATAATGAATAAAGAAAAAAATTCATAAATAATGTAAATTGTATTTAAAAAAATTTAATATTATTCATTTTCGAATATTCACCAGAATCTTTTTTTAGCTGTATTTTTCTACAATGCATTGACCAAAGACGATGTTTCTTTTTTTTCTTTCGCGGTGGCGTGAAATCTTTCAAATTTTCGACTGCTGGAATATCTGATGCTTCCTTCTGTGCAAATTGATATACTTCCTGACACGTTTTAGTTAGCATTATCTGTGCTAATGCACATGGATTACCAGGAAAAGCTTTATGAAGAGCTCGAAATAAACTCTGTTCTGATCCTGTCCATGAAGATTCACTTTCTGTCTTTATTCGTTTATCCAGGCCCAGAAGGGTAAACGGTGCTTGGTTTTCCGGTTGAGCTTGATCTTCCATTAATTCTTCAGATTTTGTTTCTTTATTAACGTTCTGTTTAAAATCTAATATGATAACAATATATGAATCTATTATATTTTTTATTGATAATATAATCCTAGCTTATTCAATCTAAATAAACTATATTATAGCTTATTTAGAAAACAATGAATAATTTCGTCTTACCTTGACAACCATCTCCTTGACTGTACTTATTGCTGTCATTGCTATCTTCACTACTTGCTTCATTTCCAGAATCTACACTTGCTTGTTTCCGCACCTTTCTGGGTCCACCACGTTTCTCATCGCTTTCCTCATCTTTTATATCTGCTGCTTGTGCAGCGAGTTTCTCTTTCATTCCTTCCTATAAAACAAAATTTGCATTTTATGCGTCTAATCTTGTTATTATTGTTACCATCATTCTTGCTTTTACCAAATGCATGTAACATTCTATTCCGCATGGTTCAGAAAAAGGTTTTAAGTCAGGTCCCTTTCGTTTTTGCAAATTTGGTCCTGGATGACAGACTTGAAGTCCTATAAATAAGATATAAATTTAATGTTAAGCTATTTTCAAGAGAAAGCATCATGGATGATGTAGAATTTAGTATGTGTTCACAGCATCGAACGATCAACGAAATATGATTGCAGATGTACCCTTGATGGCATCTCCGAATGAAAAAGAAAAAAGAAAAAGAAAAAAGTAATGAAAATAAAACAAAAAAGAAGCGTTCGTTCAAATACGATCGTTTGTATGCAGTGTTATTCTTTACCTGACGGCGACGCTCCCCTGGCTGCTACAATAAATCAGGAATCATAAATAATCGTAATTTACAGATGATCAATTTAAGACAGGGATACAGCATGGTGTATGGCCACTAGGTTGTATCTCAGTACTAATCTTTGTAATTAAAGAATATAACCAATTTAAGAAGAATAAAACTTTTATATTTTATTCTTATACTCACGATGAAGGAAACAGTCGTATTTGAAGCATCTTCTGCAGAATAAAGTATGAAAGGAATGCATTGTTTGTTCTCTGGGTACACTTTTTGCATTTACTCCATCAATATTTGGTGTACATTCTGGAGGTAGAATATTTGGATCTGATCTCTCTGTTAATTCTATATATTTTTCTCGTAATTCTTCTGGTCTACCTTTGTCAGGAAACATACTAGATATTGCCTAAAAAATTAAAATAATAATATTATGAATTACAAATAATAAAATAAAATGTTTTTTCATATGATACTTGCATTAAATATATGCATAGATGGAAATGGATTTTTGTCAGATTTAATTTCTTCTAATAATTTTTCAGTTTTAATTTCTGCTTTAACAATATCCTTTTTATCTCTATCATCTTCCTTTTCTTTCCCTTTCTTTGTTTGTTCTCTATCCTTATCTTCTTTTTCATATTGTACTAAGGCATTGACTAAATCTACAAAAATTGAATCATCCATGAAACCTGATTCTCTGTCTCCATGTACCTACGATCAATAGAGTAAAATTAATTTCTAATAAATCATCATTTTATTATAACAAGGTATTATACATACTTTTCCATCATAATTTTTTATTAATTCTTCGATAAATGTTCCATCTTGATCTAAGATTTCATCTCCCATATAAGGTATATTATGTAATACAGTTTCATCTTCAACCATGAAATTTTGCTGTATGGGAGCCCATGTATACATGGTTGGTATAGGAGTGACTGCATTAATAATCTTAACAGGACATGTTTGCACATCATTGTCAGAACTGGTCACTTCTGCCTTTTTCATACAAGATACATGTGGTGGTATATCTTGCATTGCAAGCCACATTGCTTTTCCATCTGTCCACCGTTTTTGTTCAGCTATTAAAAGGTCTGAGGAGTGAAAAGAATTAAAAATTTCGTTTCAATAATATTGAAAGAAAAAAAAATATACTAACCAGACATAACCTTACGGTTTTGATTCCAAGCTATTTTTACTTCGTCTGCCCGTTTGTAACGTTTCATTTGTCTCAAACGCATGTATTCTGATTTTACCCGTTTCTTCCATTCTGTGGACACCTTTGCTTTCGACATTACAACAAAAATTTAATTTTAGATATTACAGAACAATGTATTAATACTTAGATTTCTTTTATTATGGAAGCCATCTTTATTTGACACCAGATGTATGACAGTAGTGATGATGATGATATAGCGCCAATTTCAAATTCAAATCCACGTATTCGTAGAAGATTGAAGGTTGAATCATTAAATTATACATATGCTCCATATTTTAAAGTTTATTACGCAAATTAAAATTGCTTTTTACCAAAAATATTGTCAAATGTTGTAAGTACAGTTAGAAAATGCTTAGATGAGATAAAATGATTAGCAAGCTTCTGGGAATTTTTCCGTCTCGTGTAAGATGACATATTTTATTATCTCCTTTTTTTCCCTCCATAAAAAAAATACCTATAATGATGTCAAAGAACTATGATATTAAACTAGATTCTAATATGTATGATCATAAATTCTAAATATATATAAGTTAATAAAAAATAATCATAAACTTATATTTTATAGAAAGAAGAATAGAGAATTTGATTTAATAATTTATTATTTGTATTATCTTATTACGTGAATTTTTCACGCATATGCATACATATAAGTACACACATACAGATATGTAACAGTAATGATAACGTTGTTACATTGTATAGAAAGTGTAATGTTTCGTTTCATTCATCAAATAGGACATTATTGAAGAGCACTGTACTTGTACTGATTACTTAAAATCTCCTTTAACTCTGAAGTAGACGTTCGTGCATTGTTCGAAAGCAGATAGTCGTTACTTATCTTTCCACGGTTTATGGTCGAACCGGGTTTCCAGTAAACTTGAGAAATTCCAAAGAATATTCCAAAAATAGGGAAATAACTTCAGGTAACTTATTTGTCTTTGTAGAAAATATTGATCCCGCCACGGAGTGGGAAATCTGATAAAACTGTTTGATTGCTCAGCATTTATTTCAAAACCGTCGAATCGGAAAGATCGTGAATTTCTTAGGATCAATTTTTAATTGTAAACACATTGATTCAAAGATTAATTTTATAAAATTTCTATGTGAAAAATCCTCCTTCTTAAAATAAATAAAATAAATTTTCGTCTTCGAGAACGAAGATATGACAAAAAAAGTGCAATAATTAATATAAAATGATGCAATATAAAAATCAATCAACAAAATAATACTGTACTAATATTAAATAACGCATAAAAGTTTTATGCATTGTTAATATGATAATGTGTGCGATTTCTTTTTAGCTATATTTTAATTACTAATTTTTGCGGTGGAACTTTTTCTTCAAATATTAACATTGGCAAGTGATGCAGATGTTGTTTCTATAGATATATGTAGATAGTGCATTCGTTCGATTTGATGATACATTCACATTTACATTAATTCACATTTGTATTATAGCATTGTATTATAGTATTGCCTTTAATCAGCTTTTCTGTCTTTGTCTTTTTTTGAATTTAGAAAAAATGCCAAGTCCTTTATTTCAAAATTAAAAATTTCTTTGACTCTATTCAATGTTCTGAACATTTTACAAGATCCAAAACATCAAGTAGCAAATGGCACATGATTTTAAAAAGTGCTGATTATAAATGTAGGAATATTTTTAAAATAGCTCCGTATATGTTTTCAATTCCTGCAGTTTCAGCATACTGCATGTGAAAAGATTGTTACACAGCACGAGGGCTTACTACCGTTGCGGCTGAGCATCAAAGTCTTTTCAGAAGACGAGCCTGACCTATCTGATCGGGAGAAGAAACAAAACACGCTTGGAGACAAAATAAGCA